GAAATTGTGCTATAAGAATCACAGTTAGGGTTTTAAGCATTCAGAAAAAACTGTAAAGAAACATAAAATCAGCCCGGCCATTTTGACTAGAGACCGGCCCCCCAGGAAAAACCATAAAGTCTTTGAATGAAAACAAACGCTGTTGTGACAGTGATGTACAGTCTTGTTGGTATATGTATGATGTCTATACATTTTACATCAGATAAAAACTGGTTGTAAGATTCATATAATTATTTATTAAAAGCGAGACATTTTAAATGTCATTTTAAATGTCTCGCATGAGTACGAGCAACTTTTTGTTGCCGATGCCCATGATGCAGCCCCCACCACGATGCCGCCCTGGGCAACCGCCCATGTCGCCCCTTTAAAAAACCGCTACAGGATCTCACTAAGTGTGCCCTCCTGTAAGGGTGTGTGTGTGTGTGTGTGTCTCCTCCTCGTTTAGCACTAATCCTCATTTCAAGCAGCTCAGTCATCCATGCAAGAAGTCACGCTACAGTTTCTTTGATCCGGATTGTTTCCTCCAGCCATGATTCGGGTTTCTGCACCGATGTTTGTGCTGCTGCTGTTTGTAGTGAGTCCTCTTATGTTCTTCTGAGCTGCTGCACACTGGCGTGGAGTTTTAACACGTTTGTGGAGGTTCTTTTTTTTTTATTTTTTTTTAGCACTCATAGCTGTATACATAGCTTCTTTAACATAGCTGCTGTAACCTCCTTTTAACTTATTAATATTTAGTTTACAAATGACTCTTTGTTAACACTTTAATTTTGTGGAGCCGTTGTAAAATTCTGTCATTGAGTAAACCGAGTTAGGTCGAGTTTTCACTTGCTATGTTTCGATGGATTATGGCCTGCTCTGCTCCTGACTCTCAGGGGTCAAACCCTGCTCGATCTGCACTCCATAACAATAATATTATTTAAACTACTTTTTTCTAATCCACATGTAACAGCTGTATGTTGGTTTTCACAGGCCACTGAACTGAGTGGTGTAGTTAACAGTGTAGTTAAGACTAACTAACACCTCAGAACAAAAGCTGTTTTTCTGTTTCTGTGAGAATGTGTACTAGTACTTTAAAGACTGCAGTAACTGAAGCTGCAACAGCTCACTCGCTGCAACTTTTAGAGAAAAAATAAAATTGTTCACGAGCTGGTTGAAACAATAATTAAGGCCAGTATTTTAACATTGTGGGGCTATATCAGGTTTTAATTGAAATAGTATTAATTACAAAAAGAATTAATAGATTAGGATAGAATAGAAGATATTAATATTTCTGGATGTCTACTATAGGTAATGAATAAATGAACAATGCGGTCAGCAAGTCTGAACCTGTTTGTTCAAGGTCTGCTGTAGTCAAACTTTCAAGCAGTGTTTTAAATTCAAGCATGAAGCTAAATTATTTAACTAAAAATACACTAACGTTGTGTGTTTAGTGCTTTTCACTAACTTGCCCTTTGAAGTCATCATGACGTCAACATTCAGCTCTATTTCTTTGAATGTCCATTACATTGGCCGACTGTCTCAAATTATGTGGAGAAAAGCAGGTGAGGAATGAATTCCTTACAAAAGAGGAAGTGGGGACAGGCTGTATGCAAACATTCATGTTGATCTTTGATGTGCAGACCTGCAACCGACTTTTGAGCTATCATCAATAAAACCAGTTTTTCATGCTCTGCTTACAGTCAGCATACATGACTGTTAACCTGTTATTAAATTTTAGGTGACACTTAAATAAAGCAGTCACTGCTTGCCTTGCTTGTCCTGACCAAATGTCTTTGATTAAAACACTTGCTGATCGTTAAAGGTAGTGAATTGTGATTATGTTCCTGTCACGACGTTTTTGAAAAATGCTGCTGGCATCATATTTAAAAGGAATTCATCTAATAATGAATAAGAAAACTGAAAAGAAAAAAAAAGATTTCTCCCATGATGAGAGATAATTAATAAACCAGTTAACTGTATGTAGCTGAGATTCCGTTAAGAAATTCTTCATACAAACATCTGTTTTGTTACAGCTGCAGGCTGTCGCTGTGCTGATGGCCAACTCTGAAGACAGGTCACTTAAAAAGCGAAGAATGTGCATTTTCCCTCAGATCCTGATGGAAAATAGAGATTATACTAATTTAGACTACATTGACAAAGTAAGTTACTGTTTCCCAACTTTAATTTTTTGACTAACTAAGCAGCTCATTGTAGTAAGTAATTACCATATTGTACTATATATGAAAAAAGTCATTTTGAAGTTCTTCTTCTTCTCTGCGCCCTTCCTAAATGACCGAGCTCCTCGCTCTATATCTAAGAGAGAGTCTACCCTATAGGGGACGGTCATTTCAGTTCCTTGTATCAACAAGTGCCTTCTTTGTGTCAGGTTTCAGAGCTCAGCTGGCCATAGGTGAGGTTTGTGAAACTGCAATAACAATTGGAAAATGTGGTGTGCCATTTTTTCTTTTCTTGTTTTTCTAGTTAGCTGCCATGAACTGATTGACTGTACTAACTTTTTGATTTTCAAAAACAAATAATGTTTAATAGCCATTAGATGGACAAATAGATGGTGGTCTACCAACCCTGAAGCATTTATCTATGTGCTATTCTGTGTGTTTCAGGTTTACTCAGATTATGAAAATGTTACATACTCCCTGACAGGTGTTGGGGCAGACAAGTACCCCTTCAATGTATTTGTGAGCGACCCTCATACTGGAGACATCCGTTTGACCCAAGTTCTCGACAGGGAATTCATCCCCTATTATTATGTTAGTGATTCTCTTCTATTGTACCTTGTTATTGCATTCATAAGATTTAACACTTTTTCCTTCATGTGTTAATTGTGTGAAATCCTAAATATGTATTACATTCAATACATTGTTTTTATTCTGATGACACGATAAAAAAAACCAAACAGGATAGGGTCAAGTTATATTGAAATGTTAAAAGGTAAAGTTCACTATGCCATCACAATATTCTGCAATTTTTTTTAACTGACCATTGATCCACTCCATAACTTGTCTCATGTGTCTCATAAATGACCATATCTCACATTTAGTCTCATAGTTGGTTTCACTAATATTTGATGCTCACCAAAGCAGCTCCTTCAAAGTCTACATACACTACATTTGTTCTATGAGTCTGAAAAGACATGGATATGAACAGTGTTGGGTAAGTTACTTTAAAAAAGTAATTAATTACTAATTACTTAGTCAATATTGTATTTAAAATACTTATCTAATTACTGTGTCAGAGAAGTAACTTAATTACTAAATAAGTAATTTAACTAAATGCTTCTTAAAATCCCTATAAACTAAACTCTTTAAATAATAAATAATTTTTTTAAAGACGGAGACTCTACAGTACGCAGCGGTAGCATCTCTTCCACAATGTAGCCTGCAATCATTTTTTTTAAGCTCACCTTCAGACGCTTTCTGTGCTGCTGAAGTAAAATCAAGTTTTGCCTGCTTAGCAGGAGTTGCCGCGGTGTTATCCATGGATGATGAACAAGGATCACTCAGAAGTGTTCGTCTATGCGCTCGTGTAAGGCGCTTCAGTAGATTACTCGTGCTATTAACAGCGACCGATAGTTTTTTCTCCCCAGGACATAGCTTACATATTACTGTAATGTTCTTGTCTGCTTGTTTCAGAAAAGTGAAGAGACGGGAATATGTCCATTTCATAAAACAGCCACTCGCTTCAGCCGAGTCCGACATCTTCCGCTGTAGAATACGACTATGCAGCAAACTGGCGCGAAATGACGTGCAGCTGCACTACAGCGATGTTAAAGCGGCAGAGTTTACTTCTACGTTTAGAAGATAAATTATTGAAATTAAATAATGATATTCAGCGAGTTTAATTATTTTACAATGTAACGCAAGTACATTGTAAGTAACTGTAATTAAAATACCTTAAAATGAACGGTAATTAGTTACTCTACTTTTTCAGTGGAAAAGTAATTTAATTACAGTAACGCGTTACTTAGTAGCGCATTACACCCAACACTGGATATAAACTGCAGTTTCGCTGGTGGTAGAAACCCCTACTACAGACACTTTTTTGTTTTAGGTTATGATAGGATAGATGAGAAAGACAAGATAGTTTAAGTTGTTTTCTTCCACGTTTCAGCTAACGCTTGTAATTAAGTTCGCTAATGGCACGATTGCAGAAGAAAGGGATTGGTACCGTTACCAGATTGCAGATGAGAATGACAATGCTCCAGTGTTTGGGCAAATAAAGCCTGGTGAAGTTGATGAGTTCAGTCCCGAAGGTCAGTGGTATAAATCCCAAATAAATGTATGGAGATGTAATACTACATGATTTCTTAATGAATTAAAGAAAGCATTGTGGCTTTGTATTTGCAGGGTGATCAAATTTTTACAATGACCTGCTAAAGGTGATAGCATAAAAAACATTGAGTTATCATGTAAGGTTAAATGCAGTCTGTAGTTAACAAATGTGTCTGAATTCTTATATAGTTAAGTTTATATTTGTAAGAATCTATAAAAGCCTCTAAAAGTTTGGCCAGTATATTGAGTAAATAGTGTTACAGATGACTTAAACTTTTACAAGTTAAAGCTCTAGTGGAAAGTAAGTCATTGTTTTACATCACAAGAAAACAAACAATGCCATTTAATGCCATTCTTTTTGCTTGTTTTAGGTTTTATGACTGTTTCATTTCATGCTGTTTTTCAGGTAGTTTTGTGATGAAAGTAACAGCAACTGATGCTGATGAACCATGGTCTTTACGTTCTGTGATTTCCTACACCATCATAAATCAGAATCCACCTGACGATATGTTTTACATTAACAGAGATGATGGTTCCATCTTTGTTAAAAAGCCTCTTCTGGAGAGAGAGGTATGATTAGATTAAAAAAATGTAATGCATCTCTTTCATTCAACAAGGTGTTAGAGCAAAAGTAACTAGCTAACTAAAACTAAATTAAGTATCACAAGCCACTCAAGTTAATGTGCAGGGTCAGCAATAATATGCAACTCTGTTGATGATAGACAATGAGCTTAACTGCAGCAGTATATGGGACTGTAACGTTAATGCTTAACCTTTTGATCAGCAAACCACAACCATAACAGTGAATTCACCCCAATGTGTCCCTTTTACAAATTTGTCTGAGAGTCTAACTTTGGACAGCCCACACATTTCTTCAGTTGCTCTTATGGTCTTGTAATATACAGCATACAATCTTCTGATTTCAGAAATGTGGTCAGTACATTCTGACTGTAAGAGGCCAAGACCTAAAAGGTTTACCAGAAGGAAACACTGGAACAGGCAATGTTACTATAAACATCCGTGATGTGAACAACAACCTTCCCACTCTTGAAAAAGAGCAGGTACTTCTCTTCCTCACAGTCCTCTATATTAACATGATATACACCAATTAGTTAAACTGCAGGAATGTCTTAAAGACATAAAGACCT